TTTTTTTTTTTTTTCCGTTATTTCATGGCTTTGCCAACGGTCACGCCCCATTGTGGCTTGCTATGGCACATCGGGATACAGAGCCGGGTTCAAATCCCTACCCGGATTTCAGACCATTTCTCGATTTATGCGCCTCATCCTTGCGCAGGGGCCATGCCCATCTACGGCGTCGAAGATCACACGGCTGAAACAGGCCGCGCCCAACTGCCCCAGTATAGTGGGCTGCTCCAAAAGGAGCTAGCCCGATAGCGCAGTATGTCGGATTCCACCCCAGTACCTGCTGGGTAGTAGTCTGGCACTGTAACCTACTGGGCTAGCTCCTATCACGATAGTGATAGGAGCAGCTCTTCTATATGAAGAGTTCAGCCCTGTCCCTATCCCCTTGTCGTGGCCTTGCAGGCCCTGCCTGCCTATGGCTCTGCAGGCCCACCCTGCCTGTGGCCTTGCAGGCCCCGCCTGTCTGTGGTCTAGCAGGCCTTGCCGGCTGGTGGCCTAGCAAGCTCTGCCTGCATGCTACTTCCCCGTGGATGGCTGCCCATCCAAAGCTCCGGGGCCACCCATCGAGTAGGCCTCGGCATAGGCCTGCTGGTCCTACTCCGGCCCGAGGTCAACCCGACAGGCCCAGGAAAAAATAACCTTACTATTCCTTTCGCGCTGTAGCCCCATACCCGGCGCATCCCTCTTTTCCGCCTACCTAGGCCCTGAATCGAGCGTCTTAGCAGCCGCGCGTCAATCTTTAGGTAGAATAGTCTAGTTTTCAGTATTTCCACGACCATGTGCCCCTGCGGCCCTGTCGGGAACTGCAGACGACAGGTTGTACCGCCAACTCCCGCTGTTTCGTTCGGACGTCAACGACGTCAGGTTCTAAAAAAGTTTAAGAATCTCAATCACATGGTTGGTCTACATAAACTTTTTAGCAAACGTCAGTTTCATCAAGTTCCTCAATTCAACAAAAGAGTCGGACAACGTCCGACGTTCAAAACCCCCGGCAAATATCCTTGTAAGGGTATTTGCCCCGACACCGCGCTAATTTTAGTACAGGCCTGTGCTAATTTTAGCACAAGCCTGTGCTATTTTTAGCCCAAGGACTGCTGCACTTCACCCGACCACCCGACCTCTTCACTATAAAAGAGAGGTCGTGTCACTTGAGAGAGAGAGACCCTCACTTGCGGGAATGCGGAAGCGCTGGCGGAACAGTGGACCAGAGCTACAGGGCTGGAGCAAGTAAGAGAAGGAAAAAGACCAAGGCAAGCAAGAGGGAGGTAAAGGGGTGGGGCTGCTCGGGGAAGCACGGCGGTTCTGGCTCCGACTAGGGTCATAGCTTTCTCCCTTGCCTCATCTCCTACCTCTCTCCCCATTTGCTCTCTTCACTCCCTCTCTTCTTTCTCCCTCTACTCACTTTTGTCATTTCCTTTAATCAGGCCGGTTGCTTATG